GCTATAGATGAAAAGAAATTGGCCATGCGTTGATAGATGTGGAACCTGAGTAATGGGTACCTGGAGGTTCATTCTCTCTACTTTTATAAATTTGAAAATTTTCCTTGTAAAACATTGAAATAGCAATCACAACAGCAGCCACGGAATTCACCATGAAGTATTTAGAACCCTTTAAAAAGTAAATATGTGGGTCGGACGCAGTGGCTCATGCCTGTAACCCCAGCCTTTTGGGAGTCCGAGGTGGTGGATCACCTGAGGTCTGGAGTTTGAGACCAGCCAGGCCAACATGGCAAAACCCTATCTCTACTAAAAATACAAAAATTAGCTGGGCGTGGTGGTGCATGCCTGTGATCCCAGCTACTCAGGAGGCTGAATGGGAAGAATCACTCAAACCCAGGAGGCAGAGGTTGCAGTGAGCCGAGATCGTGTCATTGCACTCCAGCCTGGACAAGAAGAGCAAGACTCCATCCTGAAAAAAAAAAAAAAAAAAGTAAATATGTGGCGGAATCGTGGAGACTTGGCTGTATGCTAGTCCAACATGTTTACCCATGAGGAAGTTGAAGTGAAGAGAGATTGTTGTTGCTTTTGTGTTTCTTCAGTGTTTCTAAAACATCTACCTAAAAACCACTGTGCCTACAATCCCTATTTTACTCTTGATATCAACACTGCTCCAGAAATTCTGTCTTCATTCTTGGTTCAAGCACTTCCCTGTAATTCTGTCTCGGGCTTCAGCTCAAATCCAGAGTTTTGTCCCCTATAAAGCAGTTTCAGTCCTCACCAGTGAATCTAACCCAACCACAGAACACTAAGGCTTATCCTATGAGCTACATTTATACTTGGCATCTTTGCAATCTTTGCAAAGTATTTTTGAATTGTGGAAGGACCACAGAAGTTTCTGAGCTTTACAGACCTGCAGGAATCCTCATTAGTGTCTTGTGTTGCTTTAACAAGGTACCCTTGTACGAGATCCCCTGTACTTTATCCTGTGAAGAGCAGATTTTCTAAAATAGTGATTTTAAAGAAACCCAGTAGAAAATTAAAGAATAGAAGATGATTTAATATGTATAATAAAGGGTGGTAGTATGCATAGTGGTTAAAAACACATGCTGTAAAATAAGATGACCTGCCATTAGCTGTTTTGAGGCCTTGGGTGGGTTACTTAACTTCTCTGAGCACAGTGATAACAGCCACCTCTTCCAGCTTTGTAAGAATTAAATGCGATCAAGTGTTAAAATACTGTGCACGGTACCCTCGACAAAATAAGAACTGTGTAAGAACTAAATAGGGATTATTATATGAGTAAGATCCTTACTGTGACATGCAGGAAATTAACACAAAATGAGAAAAGGTATTGGGAAGGACAGGAGAAAACAGCAGGAGCTGGGGGTGGGGGTGGTGCTGAGAATCCCAGCCCCGCTGGGCAGGGCCTCCAAGCTGGGGAGCTGTTTGCAGAGACAAGTGGGCGGTGATGCTGTTTCTGCAGGAGGAAGCCGGCAGGTCCCTGAACAGGGGCCCCAGTAAATGCTTCGGAGCCGGAATGCCCTCCCTTTCCAGATCACCGTGGGCTGAAGCAAAAAGGCCTCCCGCCTCCCTAGAGAGCATATCCAACCTCTGGCGAGGCCAGCCCGGCATCCAGCGCGGTCCGGTGGCCGGAATGCGCCCAGGCCATGGCCGCCCCTCCATAGGCCTCCGTTTCATGGGTGCTAAGTGAGTCGAAAAGCAAGGGCGTCTGATGGGAACCTCAGTTTCTCCTCTGCCTGCCAGGAGGCCATGTGCGCGCGGAGCGGCGGATGTGTGTGGCACTGCAGGTGCGGGGTGAGGGCGGCTCCGGAGAGGCCCAGGGGTTCAGCATGCCCGGCTTTCCATAGCCCAGCTTCGGGCTTCTACTCAAGATGGCGTTTCTCAGGCGGGGCATGTTGGGCGCGCCTATGGGATCACTTGAGCCTGGAGCTCGAGACCAGCCTGGGCAACATTGTGAGAACCACCATCTCCCCCACTCCCCTGCCAAATCTCTAAACCAAAAAAAAAAAATTGTTGGGTATTGTGGTACACACCTATAATCCCCGCTACTCGGGAGCCTGAGTGTAGAGAATAGCTTGAGCCCAGGACTTGGAGACCAACCTGGGCAACATGGGTAAAACCCCGTCTCCAGGAAAATAAAAAAATTAGCGGGGCGTGGTGGCACGCACCTATAGTCCCAGCTACTTAAGAGGCTGATGCAGGAGGATTGCTTGAGCCCTGAAGGGCGAGGCTGCAGTGAACCGAGATTACGCCACTGCACTCCAGCCTACCCGACAGGGCAGAGTGCAACTCCGTCTCAAAAACTAAAAATAAAAATAAAAAAAGATCAATTTCACAACCCCCTCACTGACCTCCAGCCACATGCCGGTTAGCTCTGGAGTCAGCACCGTGTGGGCTTACTTTCATGGCTGATTGGGTAGTAGGGTGACCATACGACCGTACCCCACGCAATTTGGAGCCCTTTCCGCTCTGCAGGTCCTGGAGCAACCCGAGACCCTTCATGGATTAATGGACCTGTGAGCACGCGCTGCACGCCTTCCCTGCTCTCATCTTGTCACAGCCTTTCCTACACCTTAGAAACCAGACAATGGGGTTCAATATTTTTCTTTTTTTGACCAGGTTTAGATTGATTACTCCAGTCTTGGTCGTTTTTTTAATTGCATTTGGAAACCTGTTATAGTGAATAATTCTTATGTGTACTTTTATAGAAGTCTGGTGTCTATGGTTCCTGTGTCTTAGTAAATCCAGTTAAATTTGTTTTCATGTAGCATGAGTCTATAGTTTTTATATATGATATGTCTGTCTTGTGTAGAGAAATCAGGTGCCCAGAGCTGGCAACTGGAAGATCTGTCACCATGAGGCAGTGGAGTTACTCTCTCCACCGCCATCTTGATAACAGCATAATGCAGGATTGATCTTTACACGTGTGTGTGTGAGAAGTGTGTGTGAGTATGGGTTTGGATGGCTCTTTGAAGGAAATTTTTTTAAGGAAGCCTACAAACTCCTTTACTGGATTAATGGGAGCATCAGAGGAAGATTCTAGAAGGAAATGTAAACCTAGGGAAACAAGATGAAAACTGAGAGGTTTAGCCACCCCCTTCCGGGGAAAAATGTCTCTTTTTTTAATCAACTGGGAACCATTTGGGTTTGTTGACAACGGTGACAGACAGATATAGACTATGCCATAACTTACAAGATTGTCCCTGACACTATGAAATCAGAATTAGATTTTCTAAACACTAATAAGCCTGCACTCTGGGTGCTTCACTTCTACTCCCCTTCCAATGATTTATACCTAATTTTGTATTCATCATTTTGCATCTCTTTTTTCAAAGAGGGCCTTCCAAATTGCAAGCATTAAACCTCACAGTGCTTGGATCCACCTTTGTATGGAATTCTGAGTCCTTAAGAAAAAGTACCAATCCTTGTTTTTTTCCTCCAAAGAATCTGTGTTGATTCTTAGAAATGTGGCTGCCAGGAGCAGTGGCTCACGCCTGTAATCCCTACACTTTGGGAGGCTAAGTTGGGTGGATCACTAGGTCAGGAGTTCAAGACCAGCCTGGACAAGATAATGAAACCCTGTCTCTACTAAAAATAAAAAAATTAGCTGGGCGCAGTGGTGGGCACCTGTAATTCCAGCTACTCGGGAGGCTGAGGCGGGAGAATCGCTTGAACCCGGGAGGCAGAGGTTGCAATGAGCTGAGATCACACCACTGCACTCTAGCCTGGGAAACAGTAAAAAAAAGAAGAAAGAAATGTGGCCGTTGTGATAGGCATGAAGGAGGAGATGCCTGGGACAGGCCATGGAGCCTGAGAACCCTGACGATCAAAGGCAGGCAAATAACTGCCGTGGGAAGGTTGTGAATGTCCCCGAGGAGTGTTTTTTGAACATTTACATAACCTCTTTTGTGTTTAGCTACTAATGTAGTCATTTGCTTCCAAAGCCCTTTTGGGCAATTTTGCCAATATGAATTCATAAGCCCTTCATTTGCTTTGGAGGTGAAAAATGTTCTTTTCAGACTGTCTTGCTTGCTATAATAATAGGTGAAGTTGAGCACAGTGACCTCATGGCTCTGGAATGAATGAAAAATCACAATTCACACTTAACTCCTAGTTTTTTTTAATGAAAAAAGAAATAATTATCCCCAAAGTATGTAATTTTTAAATTTCCTTTTTTATGTACCTTGTATGTCTGGGCCAAATTTAATCCAACTACTCAACCATGTCCATTCCTAAACATAACTCACATAGAAAATGTAAAAGACAGAAGCTAAACAGAGCTTGCCATTATAATATGAATTTTTTGTATGGCTGGGATGATGGTTCAATGAGTTAAGTTAATTAATACTAAATAGCATTATGCTTTTAAGTATATTTATAGTTAATGTGTGATATTAACTTTAACATAATTTGCATTTTGGGGGACTTTCTGGAATGATAAAACAATTTGGGGCCAGGCACAGGGACTCATGCCAGTAATCCCAGCACTTTGAGAGGCCGAGGCGGGTGGATCACTTGAGGTCAGGAAATCGAGACTAGCCTGGCCAACATGGTGAAACCCTATCTCTAATAACAACAACAACAACAAAAATACAAAAATCAGCTGAGCATGGTGACAGGCACCTGTAATCCCAGCTACTCGGGAGGCTGAGGCAGGAGAATTGCTTAAACTTGGAAGGCAGAGGTTGTGGTGAGCTGAGATTGTGCCACTGCACTCCAGCCTGGGCGACAGAGTGAGACTCCAACTCAAAAAAAAAAAAAGAAAAAATTTACAATTTGACTTGAGTAATGATAACATGCATGAATACATTTTTCATCATACTAAACATAGGACTGTTGCATTTTACTATGTAGTCTTCCACAAAGAAAATCTGAATGCTACTTGCACAAAAAACCATTTTTTGCATTGTTTTTTCTTTTTAACTTTTTAAAAGCTTATTACACATTTTTTTTAAATTTGTAACTCTTTCAAACTTTAGGAATTCTTTGATCATGTGAAAAAACTTTGGGACGATGAAGGTGTGAAGGCATGCTTTGAGAGATCCAATGAGTACCAGCTGATCGACTGTGCACAATAGTAAGTTGTGTCCTGTTCAAGTCACAGGGCCCTTTGAAGAATGTGATTGCATGCATGGTTATGCTGCCTTCTCAGTACTTCGGGTTTCTTGAGTGCAAGAAATGAATTAACCTTTTGTGACAGAAATCAACTTTTAAAATAAGACATGTTTAGTAGAATGGAAAATTGAAAATCCAGTAAGAATCAATGTTTCTGAGAACCAGAAGGTTTCGTTCATTTTGTCCTGAGTATTGTCTTCTGTTCTCTTCAGTTTTTGACTTTTATGTAGAGCTACCTGCATATTGGTAAGTTAAAGTGTACTTACATTGTTATTGTTATGTTTTGATTTTGGAGCAGGAGCCTCAAATTAAATTTTAAAGTAATACAAACCTTGTGATCAAGGACAGGCCCTTACTTAAAGTAATGTGATCATTCTGTACACATTAGAAGTATACCAGAAGGCCAGGCTCGATGACGCATGCCTGTCATCCCAGCACTTTGGGATGCCAAGGTGGGTGAATCACCTGAGGTCAGGAGTTTGAGACCAGCCTGGCCAATATGGTGAAACCCCGTCTCTACTAAAAATACAAAAATTAGCCAGATGTGGTGGCAGGCACCTGTAATCCCAGCTACTCGGGAGGCTGAGGCAGGAGAATTGCTTGAACCTGGGATGTGGAGGTTACAGTGAGCCAAGATTGTGTCACTGCACTCCAGCTTGGGCCATGGAGAGAGACTGCGTCTCAAAAAAAAAAAAAAAAAGTATACCAGAACCATGAAAATAGATGGTAATGAATGTAATAAGTAAATATTTGATGAAAACTGTAATTAAAAAAGGAAAAAGGACACTCGTGCCAGGGCTGGCTCATTGTTTTTTCCTGAAACACTTATTTTCTATTGTGTTGTGTTTTGCTTTGTCAGATATAGTCTATTCCTGTTAGAAAATAATGGTCCCTAGAACAATATTAAATTATTAAGAAGTTCTAGATATGTTTGCTGTTTTGATAATTAAAAACTATATTTGACTAGTTGTTTTATGTAACTCTGTGGATAGCAAGAAATGAACAATTTTACATTTTAAAATCTGTAAACTCTAAAAATGTATACACATGGAAGAGATTCCATAGCATAAAATCTCTGAATTTGCAGTATTTGGAACCAGTGAGTGGAGCTGCATTGTGGATGTTGATTTCCAGGAGCAAATGGTTGTGTCGGCCCAAGCTCCTGCTCGCTAGGTTCTGCATCCAGTCACCGTCCCCGGTGGGATGCGCCTGGAGCACCCAGTGAAGCCCAGAGAGTGAGGTCCCAAGGGTCGCATGGCAAGAGCAGGAGGAGGAGGAGGAGAAGGCACTGAGCATGGGTGGGGAAAGGTAGAGTGGCCATAAAGAAGTGAGAGAGGTCATTGCGGCCAGACACCCCCAGGTCTGAGGACCACAGCAAGGAACTTGGGTTTTCTTTCAACTGTGCTAGCAGCCATCAGCTCCAAGCTGAGGTTAGGAGGAGGATAGAATGCAGAAGGCAGAGACCCTGTGGGGTGCCTTGGGTCAGGTCAGGGTGGCCATGCAGGTGAGTGCTGGAAGCTGAAGGGGCAGAACCAGCTGGTGGACTTAATGAGGGAGGTGGAGGAAAGGGGTTCAGGAGGGAACAGGGTGAACCACAGTGCCATTTACTGCAATGGGGACATCTGGGAGACTTAGGGAAGAAATCCAGCTCTGATTTGGAGATGCTGAGTTTGAGATGCCAGACGGAGATCCATGTAGAGACATGGAGCAGTCAGTCTGTTGTCTGATCCTGGAGCTTGGAAGAGAGGCAGATGGCCCCAGTGTGCCCGTCGTCAGCTACTAATGGTATGCGGAGCCTGGAAATCCAGAGCACGCAAGGAGTACCTGCAGAGAGGAGAAGGCCCTGGGCCTGAGAAAGTTGTTTCAGACAAGGAAGAGCTTCACAGCATACCCAGCAGAGGGCACGGGTTATCCAGGCCAGACTCTGGAGAGGCCCAGAAGGAGAGCTGATGGTCCTAGTAACATTGTACTTAACCTCTTTCTTACCTTGTCCAAGGACAGGACATCCCACACTCGGTCTGCTGGCATGTGATGAGTGCACTTGGCAAGGTAAAGTATAGTAAAGCATCAAAAATGGAGCGCACGCTTGCTGCAAACACCCTCAAAGGACCATAGAAAGGGTTAGCCACCTCCATTGTATAAGCTAAAGAAAATATTTACTCACAAAAATTTTTAATTAATGAAAAAAGTATATAAAATGTCCTGGCCGGGCACTGTGTCTCACACCTGTAATTCCAGCACTTAGGGAGGCCAAGGCGGGTGAATCACCTGAGGTCAGGAGTTTGAGACCAGCCTGGCCAACATGGTGAAATCTCATCTCTACTAAAAATACAAAAATTAGCCAGGCATGGTGGTGGGCACCTGTAATCCCAGCTGGATGCTGAGGCAGGAGAACTGCTTTAACCTGGGTGGCAGAGGTTTCAGTGAGCCAAGATGAATACACCTTCATTCCAGCCTGAGCAACAGAGCAAGACTCCATCTCAAAAAAATAAAAAATGTCGATTTCCTGCCATGCATGGCAAGCCCTTCAAGGTGTTCCTTAAATAATGTTTCGAAATTGGCCCTGCCCTTTAGTTTACATTTGTGAATACACTTCAGTGGTTGCTCTCATGTTATTTGGTTGCTTTACGTCTGGATGTGGGGGTTGGGGGGTTGGAAAGGTTCTCAGTGGAAATCCAATATAGTCTGAACAACCTTAAGAGGATTGCAGGTGCTGAAAAGGCCTTTTATCTTTTCCTCGTACTCTCACTCACTCTTTCTGCACTATTTCAATCATTAAGCAGTCATTCAAGGCACAACAGAAGCTGGCATGATGGTGCACACTGTGATATAGCTGGCCTGGACTTAGAACCTGAACAATGTCATTTTATAAAATGCAAGACTGTTTTTTAAAAAGTTGTAAAGGCTGCCCATTCTCCTCATGAAAACTGCTGGCCTTGGCTTCTGTAAGTAAGACTGCTAGTTTACTTTGCAGAATGCAGAGAAGTAAAGCTGCTTACCTTCTCTTATCAGTAACTGCCAGAGTTGCTAGCCAGTAATAACCAGAATAAGCAGCCCGAGTTAATTCCATCCTGGCTCCTGCAACCCGTAATAAGTATCTGAAGATCTGTACCCCTACCCAGATAATGTATAAACTAATGTTTTATCTTGACTTCTGTAAACCACTTAAGTAACAATCGGAATGACGAAAGTCCCCTGGCCCTTGGAATGTCTGGAGCCCCCCTCACCCTCCTCTCTGCCCGGGAGGTGATTTATGGAATCCACTAGCCTTTGAAATCTCTGAAGCCTTTCATCCCCATCCCCGATCCTCACCCCCAGTCCCAAGGTGGTTTTATGGATATAAAAAGGTCTTGTCACCCTTATTTCTCTGCCACAGGTTGGAGAGACGTGAGTCCTCCGTGGTCGCCGGCAAAAACCCTGCAATTTGGCATACTTTTGTCTTGGTGTTGACTTTCTGTGCTCGGTCCAGTATAACACACCTATAGTCCCAGCTACTCAGGAGGCTGAAGTGGGAGGATCCCTTGAGCCCAGGAGTTTGAGGCTGCAATGAGCTATAATTTTGCCACATACTGTAGCCTGGGCAACAGAGCAAGACCCTGTTTCAAACATAAAAGACACACAGAATTATATGTTAATTAACAGTGCTTTAGAGGTGGGAAGAATATACCAGGAAGATGCTAGCAACTGGATTTCTAAAGCAGTTTATAATAATATTAAAATTCATACATCTCTGTATTTGAAGTTATTGTGGAATATGCATCATCCTTTTTCAGTATTTCACTATTCATTGCACAAAGATAGGCCTTGGAGAACACCACAGTTCTGCTCAATGTCACATGAGAAATTTCTCTATTGTAAAAAAATGGACAAGTTATTCCTGCATCACCATAGTGATAGAATTTAATAATTTCATTTAAAATAGAATATGCAAAAATAAATCATGTAAAAAAATGGCATGAGCTTGACAATAGGCAGATAGAAATTCAGATTCTGGCCCCACCCCCGACCACTGTGTGAGACTTTAGGTAAATTACTTTTATGAGAAAATTTACAGAATCTATTCTCATACGGTTTTGGCATTAAATAAGTAGATATCCCAAGTCCTCAAAATAGTACCTGGCACTTACTAAGCACTAGGTAAGTGTTACCGCTTGCTAGGGTATGACTGATGCAGAAACCGACACCCAGAGAGGGTGCCCACTATCACGGGTTCCCAGAAACAGATGAGACCAAAGCCGAAGTCTGCTCTGTCTTTTATATTTATTCTTTCAAATTACAGAAAGCTACAGACAAAAACTGCCTTGTGAGCGAGGCCCCCAGGGCCTCAGGCCAAGACTCCCTTCCAGACTTATCGGGAATAAAACACCTTTAGCCAAAGCTTCCCTTCCAGCTTTCTGAACCCCGGGCCTGACAGAGTTACAGAAACCAGTTCCTCCTCGAGGCCTCGTTATCCTAAACTAATCGTAACTTCTCCAACTTAGCTTGTTTCATCCATTTTAATACCATGGGAATCATGTTGGAGCAATAACCTTTGCATCCTAATAACTATCTTGTTTTTCCTCTAGGATTAGATTCTGGGATTGAGGGATGAGGGATTTCAAAAACAAGTAACATTTCAATAAATCTGTTAGACCAACATAGGGCTGCCAAATTTTCTTACTTTGCTAAAGAAGAGGTCAGAAAAAATATAAGCTGCTTCTATCTCCCACCACCATCACTTCATAAAAGAAAGGATATTTCAAAATCAGGCCAGTAACTGGACATGACTCAGAGTGCAGTCTTCAGACCACGAGGCTCCTGTGTCTTGTTCAGAGCGCTAGGTTTTGAATTCCCCAGGGAATGTGTCTGATTCATATTTAAATGTCTAGTTCAAGTCAGCTCACGCCTATGATCCCAGCACTTTGGGAGGCCAAGGCGGGTGGATCACTTGAGGTCAGGAGTTCAAGACCAGCCTGGCCAACG